ATTTCTTGACTTTGTTTTCATGATGTATCCTTTATATTAAATAAGGATAAACTTGAAATTTTGTTGAATTATAAATGAGAGTTAATAAAGTTTGAAATTTTTCTTAGTTCGTTTGAAATATATTGTAAGTGACTTATAAATAAGACTACAAGAGTAGTCCTTCTAATCCATAACATAAGATGTTAGTTAAACATTTTTCACAAAATAGGAAATGTTAGTTAAATCATTAAATATGTTTTAATTTTCTTCAGTTGCATGATTTAGCTATTTGATTTTTACATTTTGAACTAAAAGGAGTGTTATTTAATAAATTCATGTATTTTTTCATTATTTTACAATTAAACTTGCATTTTTAATAATAAATCAAACAACTTTATTTTTACAAACCGACTTATTTACAAAGCTAATCCAAATAACTTTTCTATTTTTACAAACTAACTTTTATAAAATACAATCTAAAAGTAAATTATATTACCCAATTTAATTTTTACCCAACCTATTTTATTAAAAAATCAAATTGAAAATAAGTTATTTACTCTGCTATTAATTCTTCCAGGCCTCCCAATAGGCCTATGAAAATTTTTAACATCAAGTATATGAATAAAGTCAACAAGATTTTGGGAGCCAAGAAGTCTGGAAGTTAAAACAAACACGAATTTAGAGAGGTGACGAATTCATCAGTTGATCGTCCTGTAAGCCATCTGACTCTGAAGTTCCACCAACCTAGTGCCTATTTGGCAAGGCGTTTGTGGAGCTTAAAAGTAGCTTATTGGTACCATAAGCTCGATCTGCAATTTTGACCTGTTTGGCATGGCTTATGGTTCATCGCACTTATGGCTGAAAAGTAAGATTGAATCGCACGATTGGAGAAGCTGCTGTGAGTAGCTTATTTTTTATTTTCACCGTGCTTGTGGGAGTCTCCTTCATTTTATTCTCTCTCTTCCACTCATATCTGAAAACATCTCATTTATCCTCCCATCGACAAAAGGCAGAGCATCGCAGCCTCCACCGTGAGCTCCATCGCGTCGTGACCATGAACGCGTCTACTGCTGTGTCATCGTGCTTTCTCAACTCTTTTTATCAGAAGCAGCAACGTTAGAAAACGAAGGGTCGAAGGTAGTGATACTGGTGGGCAAGCTTTCATTCAGAAAAGGCACAGGAGCTTTCGTTCATTAGGAAGGAGAAGGAGAAGGGGAGAGAGAGAGAGAAAGAGGGGTGGGCTGGCGTTGTTTTTTGTGGGGTGGGGAGCATAAAGAATAAATTTACATAAAAAGCAAATTTATCTTTTATAATAATTATAAACATTCTGGTTTTGAAGTAATTTAAATTTATTATATCAACTTATTTTTTATTATGTTTCACTTCATATTTGAAATATTTCTTATGATTTTTGTGAAGTTTTTATTTTTAATTCACTCATTAAATTTTACTTCATTATATTATCTTAATTCATCTTTTTTCATCTTTTACTTTATATTTAAAATATCTTATATTATTTCTTTAAAATTTTAAAATTTATTCGTTCGTTAAATTTGATTTCTTCATCTTAAATTATTTTAATTTCATTGTATTATGTGAAATTATTTTTTATCATATTTCATTATTTATTAAAACTCATACTTATTTTGGTCATTTTACAACCAAACTTACTTTTACTCAATTACAATCCAAACAACTTTTTACTAATTTCACTTTTACAAACTAGCTTTTCTGAACTCCAATCCAAACACAATTCAGCTTATCCAATTTAGCTTTTACCAACTTCACTTCTCCATAAGCTACTTTTTTAATAATCTACTTTTCTAATCGCTGATCCAAACGGACCCCTAATCAATCATGAACCAGGCTTTTCCGACCTTGATGCTGTAAACAGTTTTTTGTTAAAAAAAAAAAACCAGAATACTGCACCGTCAAAAGTATTTACCAAAATAATACATTTGAAATCGTTTATGAGGAAAACGAGTTTGAAACTGTACAAAAATTATTCCCGCAAAGAACGATTGTATACTCATAAATTATACCAGATGTGACATTTATTTGTTTTTAAATAAAAAGCAGACTCGTTCAACGAGTTTTGATTTGTCACTAGCAAATGATTCCATAGGCACGACTCCATATGCCAGTATGAGATGATTGGAGATCGATATAAAAATGAGCAAAGCAAAATAATAAGTAGCCTCTCATCTTATGTTCTGAAGGGGTGTTAATAAATAGATAAAAATACACAAAAAATTTCATGCTTTTTAATATATTCATGGGGAAAAGATAAGAGGTAGTAAGTTGTTCACATTAATATAAAATTATAAATAATAAACATTCATAATATTTTTTTAAGTAAATTTAACCTTTGTAAATTCATGAAAGCTAAGTTTAAAAAAAATTTTAGTGAATTAATCTGTTTTTAATTTATTATAAAATTCTAATTTAGATTAATTATATGAACAACCACATGTTATATGTTCTAGAGAAAATATTCAGGTCAAGTTAGTTAAAATATCTAATCACACATGACTATGTGTTTTATTTTTAACCATTTCTAGAGAGAATTACGTTTGCAAAATGAAAAAATGAATTAGCTTACATTTTCTAAAATGTAGAGTATGTGGTTCTTCATATAATTAATTTAAGTTAAAATTTTATAAAAAATTAAAAGAAAGATTAATTTACTAACAAGGAACTATTTAAACCTATAAATGAATCCCTATTTTGTTATATAATTTTATATCTATTTTAGGCATTTTTGTGATATTATTTGGATATATTTGCAGCATTTATTGGGAAATTATAATAAAAGTAATTACATAAATAAATAATAATTAGAGATTATTTTCCATATGTTTTTATAATTTTATTTTAATAAATTTATCTATGTAGATGAAAGGTATTTTTTTTAACTTTGATTCCAATATATTCTAGAGGTAGAAGACATTGACAGAAGGCCTACTATATAAACTTCTATAGCTTTGTAAGTGAGAATTAGAGACACAATCTTAAGAGAGCCTATTTGCAAGGATCTACCTAAACTTGCAACTTATTTCATGAATCCGTATTTTATTATATAATTTTATATTTATTTTAGAGATTTTTTTTAATATTATTTGGACATATTTATAGCAATTATTGAAAAATTATAATAAAAGTAATTATATAAGTAAATACTCCCTCCATTCCTTATTATAAGAGACAAATAACCGAAGTACGTTGATAAAAAAACAGTTAAAATTAGTTAAGAACAATTAATGTGTAAAAAGTATAATTTTTTTTCAAAAATGCCCTCATTAATAAGGAGAGAGAGCATGAGAGAGAACAATTAAATTATTAAAAGAAAGAGAAGTGGGAGGGAGGGAGAGTGTGAGTTGGAGATAATAAATATGGGTAAAATAGTAAATCAATACAAAAAAAGTAGAGACAACTTGTAAGTGTCTCTTATATATAGGAACATGACATAAGCATCAAATGTCTCTTATAATAAGGAATGGATGGAGTAATAAAAAGAAGTTATTTGTCATGTTTTAACAATTTCTGTTTTATAGATTTATTTATGCAGAAGAAAGGTATTTATTTACTTTGTTTCTAAGATATCTCATATGAGTTCGTCGGCTAAGATGCGAGACATTGATAAAAAGCCCAGACAGTGCTAAAAAACTCAGGCATTGGAAAACCCATGAAATTTAGGGCATCAACAAACTTACAGCATAACTGGGCCCATTTAAGCCAACGACCCAAAGACCTTTTAATTATATTAATTTAATCCAACATTATATTTAGGGAAAATTAATCTTTTAATCCTTTAACTTTTAACTCACTTATAACTCAGTCCCTTAACTATGACTCGCTTTAACTCAGTCCCTTAACTTTTAACTCGCTTATAACTCAGTCCTTTAACTTTTGAACTGTTTATTTTTTTGTCCTTTGTCATCCATGACTCATCTTCTGTCATGACTGAGGTATCCTAGCTGGCAAAAAAAAATATAAGTCAGCTTCCCCTGATATCATGCATCAGCAAGAGGTTAGAAAAACAAAAAAGAAAAGTTGATTTAGGGCCCAAAGAGTTTGAGCGACAAAAGATGAGAAGAAATAGCATCGTCGGCCAGAGAAAATCGAGCTTATTTGCTTCTTCTCCATCACGGTCTGCGTCTTTGAAGGTCGTCACTTGTTACTTCATCATTTTCGTCCTTTGTTCTCTGGGTAGTTAATTTTTCTTCTCTTCTTCTCTTCTCCGGTGTGTGTTCATGGAAGCTTCTATCAAGTCTTTTTTCTTTAGTGATGTTTATTGTTGGTTGCTTCCTAGTTGTTCTATCATCTCACTCGCTTTTTTTTTTGTCATCTCTATGGTCAATGATCACTCACTCCTTTGTAATTATTGGCATTTGGAGTTCTGCACATATTTCACCGTAATATTGTTTTATTTTATTCATTTTGGGTTTCCCTCTTTATTTTATTCATTTTGGGTTTCCCTTTACTTTTGTTAGCTTATTGATGAGGTTTGGTAAAACTTTTGCTTCCCCCTCTTACTTTTGGTAGTCCTTGGCTTTCATGGTCTTGCTACGGGATTATCAAGGTCAACTGAAAATTTGTGTGAGTAACACGAGACCTCAAATTCAAATTCTCCTGCTTGTCGTGCAACCCACTTTCGTGATTGACTAACTTCTTTGTCCAACCTCTGTCTTGGATTCGGACATACGCTTCCATGACTTCTAAATTTCTCTACCTTCTTTCTATTCTCTTGAAATCTTGTCATGATGTAAGTGCGAATCCATTCTAATAAACTAATGATTGGAAGTTCTCGAGCCTCTAAAAGCCTCCCATTAAATGATTCAGATATGTTATTCATAATCATGTCACTCTTTGGATATTCACTGAAATGAGATTTTGTCCAACATTGTGGAGGGAACTTCATCAAATGATCATGAGCCTCTTTAGATTTATTTTTCAACTCATGCATTTTTTGCTTCCATCCATTGACATATGTTGCTTTCGCAGCTTGCAACACCAAATCTCTAATATCTACTCTTAATGTTGGCATATAAATGCCTAACACATAAGCGATGCTCAACTTCAGGAAGAAGTGACTCAAATGTTGGCATTAATCCCTACAACAACAAAAAATATATTGTAAAACCACAAAAGACATAAATGCATATGGATAAAAGAAATATAAATGCCTATCAATTACCTTCTGTTGGTCAAAAATAAAGACCCATCTTTGTGTTCTTCCTATGTCATTTAGAATATGCTCAAGAAACCATGACCATGAATCTCGATTTTCACCTTCAACAATAGCTATTGCTAAAGGAAAATACTGCTCATTTGGATCACGTCCTACTGCTACCAGCAATATTCCACCATAAGGTCCCTTTAAAAAGCATCCATCTAAGCCAATGATTGGTCTACATGCTGCTAAAAATCCTATCTTGACAGCATCCAAACAAAGATATAATCTTTTGAATCTTGGTGCTCTATCAATAAAGGGACGATCTGTCAAAATTTTGAATGTAGTTTCAGGACTTTTTGAGAGGACCTCATTGTTGTAATCCCATAGTCTCTTATACTCATCTACAAAATCACCTTCAATAGCTTGTTTTGCCTTTCTTTGTGCCCAATAAGCCTTAGGCATTGACACGACTGCCATATAATCTTCTTTAATTGTGGATATCACATCTCCAAGACTCATATTCTTATTTGTCTTTATTCTATTTTTAATCTTTTCTGACACCCATTTAGATGAAACATTCTTAGAACTAAAAGTCACACCACAAGTGTGTCTTGGATTATAAGTCTTCAAACGATATGTCATGGAATCCCTCTCCTTACTCACAAATATTAACCAATCACAACGTACACACTTTATACGGCACCTTACACTATCATTTTTAATGTATATTGTTTCATACCCATTCAAAAGTGAATACTCCCGAACAGCTTCCCTAAATTGAGTAATTGAGGTGAACTCCATTCCAAGTTCAAAGATATAGTCTTTGCACATCTCATCTGGATTATACTTTTTACACCCACTTGTCACAACACCCTCTTCCAAATCCAAATCAGATTCATCTATAGATTTTAATGAATCAGTTTTGCGATTCGATGATAAAGAGCCTGCATCTTCATCATCAGTCAATATTAAGGCATCCATATTATCTAATGACATGTTATCTTCTTCACAAAAAGTATCATCATCTTCCTCAGCAGTAAACTCATTGTCTTCATCACTACTCCCTCCATCACCCCCTAATTTTTATCATATGTTAGACATCACATAAACCACGCAAATTATATTGTAATATTAATATTAATTGGAAGTACTCACTTACCCAAGCTATTTGACGCATCCATATATATATCACACTAAAAAAAAAACAGCAATTAATAATCATGGTTAATTAGCTTAAAAAGACAAAAAGAGAGAATCAAACATAGGCATGTTTTAACATTCTTTATGGGTCTTCCCAATCTCTTTGTCACTTTGCATTAAAAAAAAAAAGATTTTCCTGGAAATAAAAACTCAACATGTATCATTTACATAGTTTGATGAAAGCTTAATAATGATGCTGACAATGACTATGAAGGCAAAACCAAATATGTTTAGGATTTTTGATGGATATGCGGTTCAATGTAATGTTGTTATTTGAATATTTTAATATTTTTGCACAGTTGTACGGTCAATCAATGAATCAAGCACTATGATCTCCAGAAACATAGTATATTGTTTATTTCATTTAATCAAATATTATCATGAATTCAGATAAGACATCTACAAGCATGGGGACCACTGAAAACAGCCATAAGCGAGAAACAAGATAAATATAGAACACATATTATTCAAATACACAGTGGGACCACTAAAGCACATGGAGCACATGGAGCGCATGGATGTATTGTTACAAATTGCACCTTTCTCCCTTACCGATATCCCTCTGCAACTGTAAAAGGTTACTCTTTTATCTGATCTTCTTTGTCGCCTCTACAATGTTTCTTTATCTTCTTCACGATTTAGTCTATTCTAATCTTCCTGTTCTTTTCCGGTCTAGTCGTCTTCTTCGTGCCGCTAGCCCTCCTTACTTGTGCGTTTTTTTCTCGTCTTTATAGGGGGTTACTTCTCTTTTCTTCGCAAGCCCTACCCTAGTTGAAAACATTTTTTTCAATCAGTTTCATGTGAATTCCAGGTGTGTATGACTAGGCAGCCACATCAGTGATTATTAACGGCATTAACAGCGTTTTCTTCCATGTAGGACGAGTTGGGATGACTAATGGATGATAAGGATCATTTTTTAAAAAACTAAAAATAAAAAGGACTGAGTCATAAGCGAGTTAAAAGTTGAAGGACTGAGTTAAAGCGAGTCATAGTTAAGGGACCGAGTTATAAATGAGTTAAAAGTTAAAGGACCAAAAGATTAATTTTCCCTTATATTTAATTGAATCTCTCGTCTAACTAAATAGAAAGTCCAATTGCAAGTTAATTATGATCTAAAGAGGAAGATGTCACCTCATTCAATGAAGGGCATGTTAGAGATTTCCAAAATCAATGACCCTTTTAATTATATTAAGTTAATCCAACATTATATTTGATTGAATATCTCGTCTCTAACTAAATATAATGGCTAATTAAATTAAAGAAATTGTCTTCTCTTGCCATATGTTTTCATCATGTTCACGGATTGAACGAGTCATAATTCAATAAAGGAAATTCTAAGTCGCATTTACCTTAAACACATGCAACCATGTCCTAAGTAATTAATTAGTCACTCACTGTTCTTGAGTGAGATAGTGAGAATAAAGATAAAACTAATGCTCAAGCCAACAACGGCAAAGCCACAAAGTGTTGCAATAATAATTAACAACACAAAGATGCCAGTGTAAATGGTTTTGAGTTCTGAACTGTGGTGTTGGCCATTGTTCATCTCACCCACAAGACCTTTGGCCAGTAGTGCAAACCAAATCGTTGCCAATGCAAACGCAATTCCAGCAACCACATGAAATATGTAGCATTCTAATGTTCCATGCATATCCACTTCATCTAAATCTGCTGTCCAATCCCCACAAAAAAATTAAAATAAAAAAAATTATTGAGTCGTCTTTTTTTTTTTTTTGAATTAAAGAGACGGGCACTAACAGTTTGACGTTACAAATGAGATTGAGCCCACAACTTCCTATTTACAGGTAAGTATCAATATCACTTGGCCACAAGGCCTCTGAATTGGAAGGTGGATGAAAAAAGTCCCAAAAGAAAAAACATTGCATCATCTCTGCAATGCAATTTAATTATAAATCCTGATAAACCCATTTGTTCAAGAGTCATGACTAATACCACTTATTTTTTATTTCATGAAACATTTTTTTGCCGAAATATTTCATGAAGCATACAGATTGAAATCATGTCAATATATGAATATAAATGTTATAAGAGATTGTATTATGTATAAATCATGTCAATTATGTCAATAGAATAACTCATTCTTCATATATTATGTGTGGGCATAAATAAATTTCCTCTATATATATACAAAGAAAGGGGGAACCCTCTTGAATTTTATTATAAATATTCATATTGTAAACCGCCTTGAATTTTATTAGAATTATGAAATTCTTTACTATTTTCAAACTTCATATAAAATTTTCCTGAAAGAAATAGTAGTGTGAGAGTCAAAATCATGGTTTTCTTAAAAGGTATCGAAACACTCCTATATGTACCAAAATCAGTTATGAATTCGAATTCATGATTATTTCATAAGTTATCAAAAACACGTATACGTGTTAAAATCAATTATATAAAATCAAAATTATTGTTATCTTATAATCTACTATTGTCAGCTTTTTAATTTCATAATTAATTTTGATATTTATAAGGGTTTTTAGTAATTGATGAGATGACTTTGGAGCATATGCAAACTATCTTTACCTTCGTTAAAATTATATAGAACTCTCTTTTATTTTCTAAACATACGCATGTTTTTCTTTAAAAAGAAAATATGTCCATATAAATTATTCGAAACCTAGGAGATGCATGTACAACTTGTTCTTTGTTACCTGAAGAGGATTGTATAAATTTTAAAAATAAACAAAATATTAATTTAGTTTATAGATCATCAAGAATTTTTCGTGCGTTATAAATTACAAAAGCAATGATAAATCAATCATGACTATATATTTATAAATTTCAGTAGCCTGGGATCCCCAGATTCAGGTTTTACAATTTGATAACAAGATCAAGCCAAAAATAATAGATTGATGTGGGGGGGGGGGGTTGAAAAATATCGGAAATCATGATTATTTAGAAAAAAAAATTAAAGTAATGAATTGAGAACTGTCTTAAAGAATCAAAAAAGAAAAGGACAACTAGAAAGGTTGAATAAAAAAATAAAAAGAACAGAATGAGCTATATTAAATTTCTGGGCAATATGAATGACTTTTGCTTTAATGTTATACCTTCGTTCTCACACGTATTATTATTATTATTATTATTATTATTATTATTATTATTATTATTATTATTATTATTATTATTAATGAGACATTTTTAATTTTGGAGAATCTAAAACTATAAATGCGTATCAATTGTTTCTCCTCCCCGTAAATTTGAAACTTGAAGGACAAGCTACTGCCTCTGCACAATCTATTAGATATTGATTATCAAGCAACATTTATCAAAAATAAATTAAAAACTTTAGTATTCTTTCCTCTTCTAATGATATAAATTAATTAATTAAAAAATATTTTATTTTGTCCTAAAACATAATTTTTAATCATTTATACTCAAAAATTTTTTTACCAGAATCATTTATACTCAAATTAACCACATTGATAAAAGTCTCATTTATTAATATATATATATAAAGTAACTTTTTTTTTCCCTGTCAACAAGAGATAAAATAGATTGATGATTTATATTTAAGATAACAAATACCTCAACTAATTTCTATATTTAGAATCGGGACTGGAGGACTGGACAGAAATCAAATCTTATTTCAATCTTTTCTCACTACCAATTGAGCCAAAACTTATTGGCTTACTATTGATGAATTCATGAATGAAGAATTCCAGGCGGAACAAGAAATTTAAGACACAGAAAATCAAAATAACTGTGCAAATTTTTCAAAAGAAGAAAGTTAATTACCTGATGAAAAGAAGCTTTCAATTCGAGTTTTTATATATTCTTTGCAACGCTGAATCACTGCCATCTTTCAACCTCCATTGAAGGAAGAAAATCAAAGTTAATAAAAGGTATAATAATATTATTTGGATATTGATGTTTATTAAGGAATTAATTAATACATCAATTTCAACCCCAGTCAGTTTTATTCTCCATATAACTTCTTTTCCCAGCAAATGAAACATGAAAGAAACAACTGAACAAGAAGAGGCATGGAGGGTCACTAAAAGTATAAATCTTATAGAGAATCAACGTCTTTACTATTTACTTATTAAATTATTATTGATCACACCTTCAACTCTGTCTATCATAACCGGTGTAAAAAAAAGTTTTCTTCGCTAGTATACTTATGGAAAACATAATCCAAAATAATATTTCAATTTTTTATAAATAGCTTTCATCTTTGAAAAAAGTATAAATTAAATATTTTTCATCATCCAATTGCACGAAATATCCATATTTTATATATTTGGAGAAAAAGTTTACACCAATTAAGACTAAAGAAAGGGATCTGAATATTGTTTGCACAGTTAAAGAACGTTTGAAAGGTATAAGAAGAAAAATAAAAGATTTACCTGAGAGACTTGAGAGGCCAAAAGAATTCCGAAATGTCCAGGGCGGGAATAGAGAATCAGATAATGAATTGATGAACTTGTCCATTCGCTATTTAGCTCTATATACAAAATAAATATTTATTTAATAATTTATTAAAAAGAGAAGATTTTCAAAGGTCATAATATTTAATCGAGATTAATGCTAAGAGCTATTATCAGAAAGCTTGAAATTGCATTGATTGTTTCAGATTGAGATAGCACGATTTACTATTCCTCAAAGTTATTAATGCTAATTACATACAAATTTTTTGTCCACGAATTGATGGTCTTATATATTAATTATTCTGCATAAAAAGATGGGACATTAATTAATTTTTTTAATGGAATTTATTCCACAAGATAAAACGATCCGTTAAACTTGAGCCTTAAAAACAATGAAAACAAAAAGCGACCAAACAGGCCTAAGCCATCACAAGTACAGACCCCAATTAAAAAATTTGCAAAAATTCTGTAATTTTTTAATGATAAAGAAGTGTCAATTATAAAATTATTTTTTTATTTATGTATTCATTAAGATAAAAAATTTTTTAAATATTAAAATATAAAATATTTAAATTTAGCCCCTCCAAAATATTAATTTGAATAGTTTAGATGAAGATGAGTACTCTATACTTATCTTTCCGATGAAATGTACTCGCCTTGAAAAACATAGACAAGGATGCGATAGTGCCCAATGTTTTGTCCTAATTGTAGAAGCTAACTATTGCCTATTTTTCAAAGTGTATATTTGGATTGGTTGTAGAAAAAAATGGCTTATTTTTAATTTGACATTTAGAAACTTAAGAATGGATAAAAGTTGATTTGTGCAGCGTAATTTATATTTGGATTGATTTTTGTAAATAAATCATTTTGCAAAAGTATAGTCCTTTGGATTATTATTTGAATTTGAAAACATAAGTTTAGTTGTACGTAAAATCATAAAAAATAGCATCAATTTTATCAAATAATATACACACATATGTAATTAATATGAAAACTTTAAGAGAAATATAAAAATAATAATAATAAAATGAAAAAGTAGTTTAGATAGTGTAAAATGATATATGTCTGAATTAACTTTTACAAACGTAAAAAATGTGGGCCCCTCTCTCTTTGCTTCATGCAGTACTTAATTTTTTTCTCTCTTCATAGTTTCATAGTTTAACTTCTTCTCTATCCACGGCATAATAAATTTCTTAAAGATGAAACTCAATATTTTAACTTCTTCTTTCCGCATTAAAAACGCAGAAGCAACAAATTTCTGCTTCAATGTTATCGTGGCTTTTTATACAAAAGCCAAATTGCCCCACGGCCAATGCAAACATCCCAAATTCAGGGCTTTTTCTAATTTGCACCGCACGTTTGGGCATCAAAACATTGTCCTCCCAAACACACCCAAAGACGCTTCCAATGACATGGGTATCCCACGGATAAAAAGAAGGCCATATGAGTAACACATATCGAAACCTTGATGCTTAATACTGGACATTCGGGAAAACCACACTTTCCCTCTTGTAAGTTAGTGCTAAGAAACTGATCGCAAACAAGAGAGACCACTAAGGTGAGAATCGTGTTCCTCTTCAAGTGAAACCTAATCATCTAAAGAATCAAGGACTGAGGTTTGAGTAAGGTGGCACTGGAAAAGATAAACGAGAGAGGATAGATGAAGGATGATGGAAGACAGAAATGCGACGGCAAGGAAGAAGGTGGAGGCAGTGGGTGGAGCTGAGCAAGGAAGAAGACGGTGGTGAAAGTGGTGAATCTGAGAGAGGGAGAGAGATAAACTCAAATGTTTTGCGTACTACCTCATATGACTAAGCCTTATACAAAACACCGAATTAAGGAACCCTCAGTTAAAATATGAGTCATGAACTTGTTGTGGGACTGTTTAATAATTAAATTCCTTCCTTAGAATTAAGCAATAATTTTTCAGTTGACTCCTTAGAATTAAGCAATAACTTTTCAGTTGACTTCTGATAATGTTCTAGTGGTTACTGAAGTCACGACAAAACTAAAATCTATTTGTAAACAGGAAGTGGGGTAGTGTGTCCATAAAGTTGGTATATATTGAGAAAGCTTATGACAAGCTTTTTTAGGATTTTTGGCGAGCAGTCTTAGTCAGTACGAAGTTCCCCCAAAGCTGGATTGATAGGATCATGCTTTGTAAATCAGGGCTATTCTCTTTTTCCATATCTCTACATTCCTTGTGCAAATGTACTCTCTTTATGGATCCTTCAATTGAAACATAGGAGCTTCTGGAAGGGTCTTAAGGTATCAAGAAACTCTATCCCACTTACCTCTTATTTGCAGATGACATTATTCTTTATCCTGGAAAATCCTCAGCAAATGCAAATTGGTAGCTCTGTTTTGGAGAGATATGGTTTCTGAGCTGGTCAAAGAGTCAACAAACTAAATCCTTCAAGGGGTTCGCTCCAAATGTGCCCCATAGTTCTAAATTGATGGTTGCTTGGTGGGCTTTCAGTTTGCAAGCAAGTTAGGTGATTACTATCTCTACTCTTTAACATAAGAGCTAGTTGACTAATTTAAGTACATTGAAAAAACTTGTTAAGTTAGTTATTTGTAATAAATAGGTGTTATCTTTCTTAAAATACTTTTGCTAATCATATATATACTATTAGTTAAAACTACTATTTGATAGAACCTTTAATAAGTGTAATGGTTACTTTGGAAAAAAAAAATAGATATATACGAAAGACAAAGTGAATTGAGGCATTATATTTAGAACTAAATTGAATGTCAAACTAGCTCTTATATTAAGGATCAGAGGTAGTATCCTGGAACTTTTGGTGATATAGTCAACCTCTCTAGTGTTTTGGGACTTAAATATCTCTCTCCTATCCATGAGGGACAATTCAAGAACCCAACTTTGTAGTCTCCATCATGGAAATCTATGAGGGATTTTCAACATCTCATTCAATCCATTTCATTGAAGTGAATATCCAATTGATGGAACAATTCAGTCTTCTTCCCTCTTCACGATACCCCAAGATTCCTGGTCCCTCTTCACTGCAGGGTCCATCTTCATTGCTGAATCCTTCTGTTTTTGAGAGCGAAGAGCATAGCTGGCTAATTCGTATATCTAAGGTCAGGAAGAAATTGGCTCCGGGCACTTTTGTTGGGTCGAATATCTCTCCCCTCTGATATTTTACTAGCTATGAAAGATTGTATTAGGTTTTTACATGGATTCAGATGCTTTGAACTTTGTTAATATAAGGTATTATAATGTAATGTTGCAATTGAAAAAACAATAATTTTTCATGAATAGAATATTGTTCAAAAGTAAATAAACCAAATCATTCTATAAAATTCAATTTCTAAGAAATAGTAACAAAAAACAAATTAATGATGTTAGCCTCGTCAACAATTCTAAAAGATTGGCCATTGTAAGTTTGTTTGCTATTTATGCCTGTTTGGAATCACATTTAGAATTATTTATAAGCACGTTTTATGTAAGTTGAGATAAAACTCTTTTCACATACTTACCTCATATTTTATAAATTATAATTAAAAAACTATTTATAAGTCATTCTAAACAGGCTCTTTAAACATCTAAATTTTGAGCTTGACTACCAATAGGGATTGGATCTAATAAAATAAGTTATTTCCTTACAATGTGACGAACTAATATTTGAATTCCCACTAAGGGAAATATCCACATTTAGTGATTAACAGTATTTCGAATAGCATTGCCTCTTAACAAATTTGTTTGAACTTGATGTAACATCCTAGATATTAAAAGAAACATTATTTCAACAAAATATAATTAAATAATATAAAATAATATTTTATTATAAAAAATTCAGCTTTTCCACTAAGTTCAGTGCAGAAGAAGAAGAAGAAATTGGGAAAAAGGTCATTTATTGAAGAAAGAAATTTGAGGGGTGTGGTTATTAAACGCAGGAAGAAAACGAGGAGGAACATGGTTAAAAATAAAAGGATAAATAAGAGGAAAGAGTGCTAGGTAGAGAAGAGAAGCGAAAAGAAGAGAAAGAGAGAGCGAGAGGTAGAAAGGAAAATCATGAGAGTGAGTAAAAAATTTTACAAAGTACATGCGATTTGAAGAATAAGACAAGATTTAGGTGATCATTTACATACATAAAAATAGTTCTTTTTATTAAAAATAGTTTAGGTACAGAGTAAGTAGTGAATTTTGATAATATTTGATAGTAAAAATTTAAAGATACATTATTAAGAAATTTTAATCAGTTTATATTTACCTATTTATTATTTTGGTATTTAAAATCAAATTTATTTTGTTGAAAAATCTGTCATTTATAATATATATATCATATTTATCCCAATTAAAATTAAGTTAAATAATTTATTTGGGTTGTTTAATATATTATTGATATTTTAGTCAGTTTATATTTATTCATTGACTATTTTAAGAATTTTAAACTAAGACTGTAGTTTAAAAATGTATTGTTCAAGACATATAGAATGTTTTTATCAATTCAATTTATGTTAAATAACTTATTTGGGTTATTTAATATATTATTGAGATTTTGATTAGTTTAAAATGTGAAATAGGTTAAGGGTATGTTATTAGAAAAATTTTGTTAAGCTAGAAACTTAAGTTATAAATTGAAAATTTTATACAATTAAATAAAATCAATATTTATTTATAATTTAAATGAGTTATTTGGGTGGAGGAAAAATGTTATTTGAAGTAAGAATTTTTGAGTAGTAAATATATGTAAAATAATAATAATAATAATAATAATAATAATAATAATAATAATAATAAATTCTATGTAATTTAAGTTATTTATTTGTATGTATATTAAATTGTATCTACATTATTTGTAAATTATCTTGTACTTTAGAAGCTGTAATTTGTACTCTTATTTCTCAAGTTGTGAAGTTAAGTTTGGAGTAGAGGTAGCTGGGGTTAACTTATTTTATATACATGCTTCGGATTGTAAGGTGTTTACTATGTTTTTATTTTCTCAAATTAATTTGTGAAAGTATGTCTATGAATAAAGTATGTATTTTCTTATGCGACAAATTTTAGTGAAGTGGGAAGTATGTTAATTTAATTATGCTTAAGCTGTATTTTATTGGGAATTATGTTTTCTTGTGGTGCTGAATTTGATATACTAATATTTTGTTATTAAATAAAATGAAAATGTGTTGTACTTTGTTTGGAATTATATCATCCTGGTTTTAAGATTTATAATATTTTTAATTTATATTGTAACTATGCATGGGGTTCATATGTGGAGATTGGGATTATGTTATGTGGAGGATAATTGTTCTTAAAGTCCTTGCAGTATGCTTACACTACTGATCATATCGTTTGGCCTTTTTATCAAACCCCCGTAGTTCTTCCTTTTCCTTTACCCGAAACTGAGAATGAGCTCTTCGGTAGACACCTCTTGCACTATAGTCCATTCTTGGGGGTATAGGTGTGGGAAGGGACTCATTACTTGATGTGAGTGGGGTGACCTTTGGCTAGGTTACTCAGCCTAGAAAGCTCAGGTCCTTGTCAAAGAGTCACGAGGAGGAGTATGGTTATGGGAAGGCATATTTCATTGTGTTGTTGCATATGTGTACTTTTATATGAATTGTATTGTGGATGGTGAGACATACTTCTTTTTATGCGATTATATCTATTAAACCATTATTTATTACTTAAATTATATTTAAGCACTATTTCACCAACTTACCATTTTATTTGTATATGTCATAAATTAATACTTGGTTACTAGGACTTTATGTCTCACCCTGTTATTTATCAATGCTTCTCAGGGGAGCCATCTAGTTTAGCTCGGCCTAAAGGGAAGCAACCAGAGGCATAGGCGAGCATAACCTAGTAGTCCTCTTTTGGTTTGGACATGTAATGTTATGTATATTGCCATCTTAAGGCTCATGATTTTGTTGATATATACTTTTTTTTTTTGTTTGGTTGTTGGATGACTGCATTTGATGGAGTGCTCACTAGTAAAAAAAGATCCATTTTTGTTCATTCTAGAGGCCTTTTTTTTGTCTATTTAGAAGTTATATATTCGTCTATTTCTAATAGACGAATATGTAAGGCGCATATTCATCTATCCAGGAAAACAAATGAATATGCAAAGCACATATCCGTCTATTTTGGCTAAAACAGACGAATATGGTGACTTTTTTTTATAAAAAAAAGTGAAATTATTTGCATTAGGGCTGAGCAATGGACGGGTTAGGCTAGCCTTATGAATAAACAAGTATGGGCTAGCCCATAACCCAGTCACAGCTCATTTAAGCTCATATGAAATGGGCTATAGGGCAGCTTGTCTAGGCTAACCAAGTTATGGGACAGCCCGTTTAGGCTAACCGGGTTACAAGGTAACCCATTTAGCTTTTTTTTTTTTTTGCATTTTTTTCAAAGCTGGCAATAAATTTTGAAAGTTTGGTAAAATCATATAATATCAACCATATTCAATCACACAATCTTACATAGAGTCACAGACAATCACACTTCACGAGCTAACAAGCAGAGTGAACAGCGACTCACCAACCTTTGCTTCAATCATCGACGAGAACCTGTCAAGAAGGGTGATGGAAAGGCGAAGACGCAGTCTCAAAGACAGCAAGACGGAGCTCCAAGCTTGAAGTTGAAGATGCACTGATGCAGCAACCCAACATCACAGGCTCGCAGATGATCACTAATTCATTGGACTACTAGAGCTTGAAGTTGAAGTCTTGAAGTTGCATATTGCAGAGTCACAGCCTTACTCTCTCGCAAACAAATTGATTGCATATTCACAGTTCACAGATCATTGGGGCTCAAAGTTGAACAGGGGCAAGTCACAGTCACAGACCAGAGTGAGGCAAAGTGAACAGCGTCAGCATCGTTCTTGTTCAATTGAAAAGGAGTGAAACTGGAAAGAAATGGTCAAAGGGATAATGAAGGGCAAAAACTAGGTCTAGCTATCTAGGAGAAAAATTGAAAATCATTAAATGAAGAATTAAAATATTTTGTTAAAAATAAAATATTTAAATGGGCGGGTATGGGCTGCCTGATGCCTTGCCCATAGCCCGTCCCGGTTATTCGGCTATCCCGCCATTTGAACCCTCCTGTTTATAGTCTTCTATTTGGGCTAATTGAGCGGGCTTAAATAGGTAAAAATTTGTTGGACAATGGGCTGGCTAGCAGGTTATGGGCTTCCTGCTCACCCTAATTTGCTATGTTAGTTTTTACTATAACTTGTAATTCTAAAGTATATGAAGCAAAACCAAAACAAAGTAACAATGACAGCAATACAACAGAACCAAATCATGTTACACTTTTCATACAAATCACAGTTTTAAGGGTCAAAGCAAATGACAATAACAACATCTAAATTAACTTAGTTAAGAAAAAATATTAAATATCTTAACTCAATCATAAACACAAGAAAGTTTAAAACTAGAAAATCTAATGACATTCTAACTTATTTAAATAGATATTTTAACTTTTAGAATCCCATACCTTTCTAAATTTAACATGGAGATTAAACATTGAGAACACTTAACTAACTATTATATTCTAATAGATTTTCTCTCGTAGACATTTTCACAAACACCTTATGTGTATTAATATTTAAACAAAAAAAATGCTTTTAATCTTAATATACTTTCCCAATCACTATCATTACTTTCCAAAAAATATTATTCACCAACAATCAGTTTAAATAGAAAACTTTCAACACCAAAATATCCAAACAATCACTTTCAACGCCTATATAATAGTCCTATACAACCAAAATATTCAATACCAAACCACAAAACTTACCTTACTTCTTACAAAGCTAAACCCGTGGAACAAAGAAGGAGAGAGTGTTGTCAAGCACACAAGAAAAGAGAGGAGGAGCTATCTACCATCAAGAAGAGAGGCTGGCCGTGGACTTCACTGTGTCGTCAAGCTGTTGCGTCACCAAGAGAAGAGAGGACTATCGTCGGCCAAGAAGGAGAAGATAGAGGAATGCTGGTTGTCACATGAGAAGAGAGGAAGAGGGAGAAGAGAAAGCTTGTGACGAAGGAGAAGAGGAGAAAAAGAAAAATTGCTGCTTGGGTTTGCTCTGATCTAATGAAAAAATAGTGCTACATTCTGAAAATTCAAATTTTAAAGTAAAAAGTTTTCGTCTGTTACTTAACAGACGAGTATATATCTACATATTCGTCTGTTACACTCTAACAGAGGAGTATGTGTTAGAGCATAACAGACAAGTAGGTACACACATATCTAACAAATGAGTATGTACACACAAAGTCTGTGAGTACATACTCGTCTATACTTTTTTTCTTCTGTTTTAAAAAAAGACAAAAATGACCTCTTTTATAGTAGTGGCTATTAGAATGGCTGGAAGCTATAAGACTCTACTATATGTGTTACTTTTATGTGTATAACTTGTGGGCTGGGTTGAACACCTTGTGTTTCTTGTGTCCTAAGTCTTTGTGGGATGAATGTTTATGTTGGGCTTGTGGGTAGTTACTGTGTCCTGAGTCCTTGTTGTACGTGTTGTTAAACTCATGGGTGTTTTATGCATTCTAAGCCTCTTAGGATGTTTTCAGAATAAAACAAACTTTTTACAACCATAGTAGTATTTTAGCACTTTAACTCAATTCTTTTTCTACTATAGTTATCATCTTAAAAATGGTTTTATAATTATAGATTAAAAAGAGGTATTTTCACGTGACTTTAGCAATTCTCGAGTCTAAAGGGCTCCTATTTTATTGGCTCTATTCACGCACACAAACCTTTGCCTTTTTAGTCTCATATTCTCATTTCATTTCATTTTCATTTTCAAAATTATTTCAATTCTAGTTCATAACTAAGTGACTAACAACTCAGAGCATACACTTGCACGCCCTCTTCATAGGACTTGGTTTACCACATTACCTTGGGCAATCCACAATGGCATCTTGCCTCATGGGTCGCATCTCACCTGCAAAAGAATCTCTTTGCATTGGGAATTCAGGAATGAAGGCCTCACTGTTATCACTTCATTATTTGCATCAAACAAGTTTAGACTACATATACTTCTTTTTAAACCAAAAAAAAAAAAAACAATTTGAATCAAATTCTTTAACCCAAAAGGGGTTTGAACTGACCCTAAAGAAAATTTGGGTCCTAAGGGCCACCTTGTCTGACACAGAAAAGGAAAGGAATTCAGAAATCCTCTTCTGAGTTAATTTCTATTCCGAGAATATTCATACCTTTCTCTTCATTAAATATAAACACACAAAACACAATCGATTAACAAAGTTTCCAAAATCACACTTTAATTTATTGCCATCTCTTCATTTTACAAAGCCAATCTATATCATGTGTGGCCTCAAGAATGAATCAGACACTACACTTGCCTGTTCTTCTTCAACCATCCATCATGACCCCAGCAAAAAAGAATTGAAAGAATCCCAGAAACGAAATTACATACAAGATTAATAATAAGAATATTATGTTCAACTAAGAGCAGCAATAGGGACAAATAACCAAACCATTCTCATTACAATCCGAACATTGATTGCTCTGTTTCTCTTCATCGTCTTCTTCCTTTATGATCCTTTGGCTCCCATTACAGCTGAAACATATCATGAATCGAACCCCATCACATCCTTCACATGAAGTGTTAGAATTTCTCAGTGGGATTTCTGCCAATAATGGTTTAAACCTTCCTTGTTCATGCAAATTTAGAACTTCCTCTGCTCCTCCTATGTATCTTCCTTTCACGAACAGCCTTGGAGGCAGAGGCTTTCCGTCTAGAATATTCCATAGCTCTTCCTTGAACTTCATGTGCATTGATGTGTCTCTTTCAATGTAAACAACCTTAAAGCTGTCCAATAGAAAGCGGATCTTGTTGCAGTCCTCGAATGTCTTTCTGATTCCCCGTAATGTTGTTGTGTAGAGAATTACAGAGTCATTCCCCCCAGGCGGACACTTCTCTTCAAATACCTCCAGAAGCTTCCATGGTAGCTCTTCTTCTTCTTCTCGTTCTTCTTTTTCTTCTACTCGCTCTTCAAAAAATTCAATTTTCTCTGCTGATTTTCTCAGTTCTACATGTTCCTTCACTGCTTGCTCAAATGCTGCCAGCAAAAGCGGGTCAAATAGGCTTTCAGAGTTCATGTCGGGTCGCCGGAAAGACGAGATGTCAATCTCTGCTAACGGAGGGGGTTTGGATGATCTTGACGTATCTTGTTCTTTTGATCTCAGACATGGAGGCCCAGTGTTCTCCTTGTCGTCACTGTACCCTTCTTCAAGATCTCTCATTTGTTGAGACACATCAATCACCTCACATTCTTGTACCTCAGCCTTTCTGGGCTCATTTTCTTGGGAAACAACCAGGTCCTTAAGATTGAAACTCGAACTGTTCGTAAAAGATTCAACATACCCGTTAAGTGCCTTGATCTGAAGAACTCGATCCTGCTTCAGATAATCAGCTGGTCGGATTGTTTTGAGCTTCTTGAGGATTTTCCCCTTCATCCCCCCGAGGATTCTGGGTTTGAAATTATTCGACGAAGAAAGTTTCAGGTAGGTTTAGATTTACGTAGCGGCGTGGAAAACAGAAAATCAGAGAGCTTAGACTTTCTTTTGTTTCACCTTCGCTTCTTCTTCCAGGTCGCCTGAGAGGGACAGAGCTCCAACGGCTAGTTCAGATTTTTGGCTAATTTTAAATTTTAAATTTCGAAGGCGTTGGGGATAAAAAAGAAATAATCATAAAACGTCCTACAACGCGACAAATGATATGTCAATGGATGCTTCTGGCCGTTGAAAGCGTTCCACGTGCTTTAATAAGAGAAGTCCGATATGGTTTGGACACGTGTCAAATCACGGGCGGACTTTTATGGTTACAGATAGAAGAAGGGGTAAAGAAAAAAGTGCTCTTATCAAAATAAAACTTTTTTTATATATTTATCTTAAATTTTGCAGTCAGTTATATTTAAAATGATGTGAATTTAACAGAAAAAAACATAAATTATAATTTTTGAGAATAAATTGGTTTTTTATATTCTAAATTAATTTGAAGCTAAATTCTTAAAAACTTTTTGTTTATAAAAAATAAATTTATTTTAAAATTATAAATAATTTGAGTCATTAAACATAATTGTTTTTATTGTCATTCAAAGCGCAAATTAAATATATTAACCCTTTGAAAACTTTTCTGGTAAAAAAATCCTTTAAAAATTTAAAATGACAAATTAATTTTATTTACAATTAACGAAATTTATGAAAAGGCCAAAGCTACCATATCAAATTTAAAATAAATTAGAGTAGTTTTTAACTTTTTATTCAAGTTGCTGCGTTCCTCAAAAAGTGCTCTCTTTTTTTTGGGTGATTTGTGCGTCACATGGGCATGGGCTAGTAAGTAGCAACGGTCTTTCTTTTTTATTTTTTTTAACAAAAAGTAGAAAATCCTTCTCTTTTTTTAATCATTGTAATGTGATATAAACTCCACGATTAAGTAAAAAAATATGCTGGCAAAAAAAAAATTAAAAATTAAAAAAAAAAAAAAAAAAACTAAAAAGTGCTCTGAACGACTGAACCGAAGAAAAATCAATGCGCGCAAGGCTTTGTTAATGGCTATGTGGCATTGTCTCTGAGCTCGCTCTCTTTCTCTCTCTCCTCGCTGACTGACTCAATGAGTTATCGCGTTAATGGCCTTACAAGTATACCCCTTAGCGCTTTTCGCAAACCTCACTTTCGCCGCTACTTCAGGTTAATTCCCTCCTTTGACTTTATTCCTTCTCAAACCTTACTTTTTGAGAGTGAAATTCATAAAAATATCACAGCAAGCCTTACTTTTCCTCCTCTAGAAACCCCGTTTTTCTTTTCCCCTTTTCGTTCCTTTTGGGATTACATAAGCCCCATGTTCCTAAATCTTCTAGTTTTCGCTCTTCTAATAGCTCTGTGATTACGTCTATCTTTCTTTTCTTTCAAGGGCTTCGTTTTGTTGTGTTTGTTGTTGGAAGCATTTGGAAATGGAAGAAAGTGTCGCCAACAAAGATCCAGAATTGATTGTGGGTGACCCAGATTCGCTAGCCAATAAAATTTCCGCAATTCGTTCGGCTGGTCCTCAAAAACTTCAGGTTTCATATGCATGTTTTGGTTATCAACGTTTCTCATTAGACCAGCGTGTCACTTTTTTATAGTGTTTCATGATTTTTATTGTTTCAGTGAATTCAATCAATGTAGTGTTTGAGAAAAGTGGTCGCATTTAGTGCTGGATTTTAGTTCCTATGTTTTCTTGTCACGCATAATCAAGTTTTCAATTCATCATTATATTCACAATTTTCTGATGCCAGGTGATTGCTGATTTTGATGCCACATTAACAAAGTTCTGGGCTAATGGAACTCGAGGGCAGAGTATGTTCTCTATGGAGCTTCTGTAATTTCTTTCCGTTTTTGTCTTGCTTTTATGAAATTTCCTTTCTAAGGGAGGGAGGGAAAAAAAATCTCAGGTGGATTTTAGTTCTCTTATCTCTAAAAAGTGTGTAGGCAGTCATGGCCTTGTGCAACAGGGTAATCCAGAATACGATGCCAAAAGACAGCAGTTATATGATTATTACCACCCGTTAGAATTTTCACCAGATATTGGACTTGAAGAGAAAACGAAGCTCATGGAAGAATGGTATGTGACACAGTTCCCCATTGGAGAAAGTAAGCACTGATTTAGCCATATCATTCAATACCGACACTAATGCTTCCTGCTTAAATTGCATAATCACTGATCACTTCCAATATGATATTAACACTGAATTCTCAATTTTGTATCGTGGTAGCTAAACTAACTTTATCTTTCTATATTAAGTCTCTGAATTTTTTTTTTTTTTGGCAATTGCCTACTTTGGTTCCAAACACTCAAAGTGCTAATTGTTCATTTAGGTGGAGTAAAACTCATGCTCTTTTAATTGAGGGAGGACTCACAAATGAGTCAATCAAACAGTCTGTTGCTAATGGCAACATTGCTTTCAGGGAGGGTGTTTTCGAACTATTTGAGTTTTTGGAGGTATATTTCCTGTCTTTTGGAAAATGTGCTGCATGCCATTCTTTCATATGGTGAATGTGTTCTGTATAAAGCGAACCAATTGAATATAATTTCTCAATATTGTCCACAAGCTGACGTTGATTCCCATTTTCCATTTGTACTTTGCAGGAAAAAGGCATTCCTGTGTTAATATTCTCTGCAGGACTTGGCGATATAATAGAAGAGGTTTGCATGTTCAATTTTGTCTGATGCTATACCCTCTGTTGTTATTTTTGCCTCTTAACTGCAGTGAATTCTTCTTTTGGCTGCAACAGGTTCTAAGGCAAAAACTTCATAGGACTTTCACAAATGTGAGGATAGTATCTAACAGAATGGTGTTTGATGAGGATGGCCACCTTGTATCTTTTAAAGGTTGATTACCTACATTGGGTTGGTTCTTTATGTCACTCATGAAATTAACATGCATGTTTTAAACTCTTCGTGTCAGAAGATTTCTTTTCTCTTTTTCTTATTTCCAACAAGGGTGAGGATAATTTTTGGAAAAACAATGTGGAGGTCTTCAGTAGCTGTTCTGTCGTTGCCTAAATGAGGAAAATCTTTATGAAGATGTCACCTAGGATTTGGCAGATAGTGTTTTAAATTTTACATGTCTTGTTGTGTACTGCTATGCTAACTGATTGCGTTCATGGAAGGAAGACAGCAAATGAGGGCTCTATATTATGTCAATATCTAATGTGTGAAATAACATTGCCAATGTCAAGACACAGGAATTCTTCAGTAACATCCTAGGTAAGCTTATGAATTGTGAGGGAATCCCCAAATTATGTAACTGCTGAGGCAACGTAAACCTGACCAAATCCTTTATGATATGAACTGTCAAGTCTCAGTTAAAGTTAAGTTAATCATAATGATCCTTCTGGAAAATGACGGGCTGGTAAAATTAGAACATATGAACCTAGGACACATGGGTGAGAATAATCTATCAGTAATTTCTTGTTAGAGCAGCAAATGGTTGGGGAATCTACATCACTGAATCACTGCATTATGGCAACGCGAATACCTCTGATATTGCTAATAACTGGCTTCAAGAAGAGTAGTACGTAAAGTAACACAAATATTCGTCTAGTTGAGACTTCAATAATGAGTACTTCTAGTATTAACTTGCATATTTCTCTAGCTACAGCCCTATGATTATTGTCTCTCTGGGTGTAATCAAAGAATCTTCTGCCCTCCAGTTTCTACCCTGGAATTTCTCATACTGTAAAAATGTTGACACAAAGTCACATGCAAGGAATTTAGATTTAGTAACATGAAAAAGTTACAGTATTATGCAATCCTTGCAAGTTACAGTAGCATGCTCCGCCATGCTAGAGAACACAATAATTAAATATATTATATAATACCGTAAGTTGATATTGACTTTCCCGTATAGCTTTCATTGCATAATTACTACATTCTGAGGTAGCTCAATTGCAACATTTACTTGGCTGAATCTTTCTCATTGGCTTTATCATCAACCATTATCTTTTCTATATTTTCCTAATTTTAACATACCAACTTCGTTTACAGGAAAATTGATTCATAGCCTAAACAAAAATGAGCATGCTCTTGATATGGGTGCCCCTGTTCATAATCATTTGGGTGATGAGGGTGATCCTAATGAAGACAATGCCTCCATCAAGTACAGAACCAATGTTCTTCTTCTTGGTGACCACATTGGAGACTTGAGAATGTCTGATGGTTTGAATTACGAGACCCGAATATCTGTGGGGTTCTTGTAAGTTAACAGTTTTATTTTCTTTCTTGTCAAATAACAGCTCACACACAGAAAGAAACATGTAAATTTAGCTTCAATTATGAAAGGAACATATGAACATCATTGAGGGTCACCTATTTTCATTCTGATTTTTAGTTTTCCAATGGTTGGTTCCATGCCCTCGATAAAGCCTGGGAGCTACGGCAGATTGATGGGATTTTATCCAGTCCGATGAATATGCATATCATCAAGATTTTCTTGCTTGATCTGCTTTCTCTCTGTGCCTTGTGCCTTATTGAAAGATGATAATTTGTCTTACACTCCTTAATATGTAATATTCCTTTGGCTTTTTCTTAAAGAAAAAATATTTCACAAATTTGGATATATCTGAAAAACAATATAGTTGTCTGTGTTGTCGATGCTAACATAAAGATCACCTACAGCTTTTACTATTTTTGTTGTTTATCTACTCTTTATGCTATAATGGTGCAATGAATCAGCGATACTATATTATACTTAAGTTGCAAGATAGTCAGATTCTTTGACATTATATCACATGTCAGAAGAATGGCAATGAAAAACGAAAATATTCTGTCTATAATTAATCAGGTAATTGATTTCATGGAGTCAGTTGTGTAAATTTATGAAATCATTTTTTCCCAGGACTTGTTCGGGTTTTCATTCTTTAAAAATAATTAATACATGTTTCATGAATGGGCTAGGAACAAAATTGAGAGAAGAAAATAAATATATATACTTTTGCGTTACAATTTAGATGCTTTCATGCTCTATCTTGTATCTATATGGATAAAGATGGGAGGGAGGACTAGATAATTGTTGTGCATCTTAAGTTATCTGTGTAAGTACGGTTTGAGGATAAAAGCCTAAAACAAATGGTCATATTGGACTGATGGCCTCTCTCTCTCTCTCTCTCTCACGCGTGCGCTCTAAAAGTTTGATTACTTTGGTCAGTTGCCAGTAGGTTCATAGTAAGTTGATGTTGAACTGGTTTATGTAAAATGATCAACACTGAGCTGAGTCACGAGGAATAAGTCGACATTGTAGCAATGGCAAAATAAGTATTTAATCGAGTTCTCTCAAAACTTTTTTCTTTTTTTCTTTTTCTTTTTTTGTCAAAATGGTTTTTGGTTGCATTGAATGACAGCATAAAAGGGAGGATAGTTGAGCAAACAGTCGTACTTGCTAGCTCAGCCTATGAATATAGGGCCAAAGAACATTGAAAAGGGAAATATGATAATTTTTTTTTCAAGAAAAAGAATTCAACTGATATCACCTGTCTTATATTCCAGATACCAGATGTTATAGTTGGAATTTTTATTTCACCCTTCTTCCTCTAACTCCTAAATGCATAATGCCACGAGCCACGTTTGTGGTCTGATTCTATTTTCTTTATTGTGGATTGAAGGTTGGGGACGACTGTAGGAAGTCTTTAGGTAGTATTTTTTGACATAATTCTCAGAGAAGCCTTTTGTTTTGTCTTCTCAAATGACCTGATATTGTTTGGCTAATGCCTTCCAGTTTCATTGATTGTTTATTATGTCTGCAAATGGATATCATTATAGTTGTTCTTCTAATTTCCCTTGCAGTGATTTAGTGCGGTAGTTTTGAAAAAACAAGTTACTGAGTTTACTCTGCCATATTATTTTACCAGGAATCACAACATTGAGAACTCACTTAACTGCTATCGAGAATCATTTGATGTTGTTCTTCTGGTAAGTTGACTGGATAAATTGCAATATATCATCATATTTTTGGTTTCTTCCCATGTGTATGACCTCAATGGCAAGGATCTTTATTTCCTATAGTACCTATACAGTGACGAATAATAACTTTATGTTCCTTTTCTTCTTCTTTCCTGTTAAATCAAGTCTCCGACGTTTTAGTCAAATGCATAACACACCAACTAAACCGCCAGAAGTCCCAGGCGACTAACTTTATGTCAAACTTAATACGTAGATGCATCTGGTGATTGGACTTTAGGTGATTGTTTGTTTACTCTTTCAATGGAAAACTATGTTTTACTAAACCTATTTGTAGCTGACACCAACATCCATAAAACTTGTTCAATTGAATTGAACATCTTAAAAAGGAAAAGAAAAAGAGAAAGAAACACAGTGCGGCTAATTAAGTTGTAGAATTGTAATTCAGAAAGAGGGAGAAAGAAGGAGAAACAGAGAGAATGGAGGGGAATAGATAGAATTAGGAGAGACAGAGAGGTAGACGAGAGAGAAAGATATAAGGGAAAACTTAGTCCATTCACTTATACGCAAGCCCAGCTACAACTTAACCCAATCCCTTTATTATATAGGCCTAAGGACTTGTTAACTAACTATGTTCCATTTATTACAATTATATATCAAATCTTAACTAAATTTTTTTCCTGCAGAATGATGCACCAATGACAGAAGTTGTCAAGTTGGTCTCTTCAATGTGCCCAAAGGAGTAGTAGGCATTGCTACAGCTATTTACTATGTAGTCTTGCTGCCATCATATTCTTTTTGTTTCATCCTTCGTACGGTAGATATTACTTGGTGGAAGGTTTAGTGATTTCATGTTTGCTCTAGGATTATCTAGCAGAGCAATCATACATGGAAGAATTTTTATTAGTTGTAATGTAGGAGCAGTTGGTTGTGTTTGCTACAAGCGTTAACAAACAGAAATATGACGCGTCAAAATCCTTCTTTATGGAAGCAATCTTGACAGTGAGTTGTAAAAAGTGTACGCATATTATAATTTTGTTGGACAGCATGATACAAATCTCAAAAAGAATTTTTCTTCATTCTTGTCCTTGCACAATAGAGTGGGGTGTGGATCCGCTGAAGTTGACAAATTTAGAGAGTGAATATTAACTAAAATTGAAAAGTAAACTTCATCCAAATTCACTGTTCTCAACTTCACTAGATCCAGACGGTGACTGGATTGGTTATCTTAGGCAATAAAAAAATTCCCTTAATCTTGTTCATTGTCATTTGGTTAGTTCTTATTTCAGTGATTATGTCATTGCATTTTGTCTGCTTTTTGCATACGCGTATGCCCCGAAGTGCTTGCAGTCGGGCATGTGTCTGTAAAATCAAATGGAAGAACAGTGATCATATATTTGCCTGAAAGTATCAATAATGATAGACAAGAATTTGAAGAGTGATCTCAGTATAAGTGGTTCGGCAAGTGTGTTGTGTGGACAGACAAGAATTCAATGGAAGAACAATAATTGTTTTTATTTTATACAGGAACAAGAATTGCATTTTATACCTGCTAGGTATTAATAATTATAGACAGGTATGTGAAGAATGATTACTGGGTAAGTGGGCAAAACATTTTATGCTATGTTGTGTATTTGAAATAGTTGAATTGGAGTTCGAGTTGTTTGGTTGAGCAGCAAAACTGATTCCTGTGATTGTTGGATATATAAGCAGGTAGAAGATGCACATATGTGCAAGAATTAAGCATGTTGATTTTAAAGAGTACTATAAATGATGTTTCTAGGCCATTCTACACATGGTAATTTTGACTTAAATGCAGATACACCTCTTTAAGTCATTTACCAAGAAATAATGAACCAAGTTAATTGTATGAGAATTATTTGCATAAATGTAAAAGTTCAGGAAGGTTTCTCGTAAAGTTTCAAAGGCCAGGGATGTTATTTACATATGACATAAAATTCAAGGGATACTGTATAATTTAGCCTTATTTATTTATTTATTTCAACATAAGAATAGCAAGGGCTAATGGTACCTCTTTTGAATTTTATTCCAGAGAATATTATGAATTTATCAGAGAAATTCATTATGAAACGAAATTAACACATTAAAAAGAGGCGTTATTTGTTTAGTTAGTTAATGGGCAAATTGACTGACACTCTCACAGATGATTGACGCAGGCAGGACAACCTGGGCCTGTGTTATTGCATTGAATGCCAATTTGCTCTCTCCCCTTCACATTCACTTCCACGTCCCCTCCTTTTTCCGCTCTTCATTCCCATCCTACGTCAATTCATCAAATATTAATAAGCAAAATTAATACTTCAGTCCTTGTCAATTGCACTCATTTTTAAAATCAATCCCTATATTTTCTTTCTAATTAACTCAGTGCTTGTATTTTATTTCAGTTAAAAGCATAGTCCCTAAACCATCTGGGCCCAGGTGTCGGATGCGTCCTCTAATGCTCCAAATCATAGCTGCTATATTCATCCAAGGGCACATCTCACACCCCATGCCCAACTTATCTTGGCAAGCAACCATGACATGTTAAAAGATTATTCCCATTTAGTGCTCATCACTACTCTCATAAAATACAAATAATTCAAAATCTGATTTAAATAGTCCAGATATAAAATTTTTAATCTGCAATTTTTTTAATTATAAATTTATTTTTTTTAAAAGTCGGTTATAAAATTATCTTTATTTTATATTTTGTACGTATTAAAATAAAAAATATCATTTAAAACCTGAAAAAATTTTACATTATGATAAGTCTGGACGCAATAACAGATCAACCACAAAATGAATTGATTAACCTTAATTGCACTACATTCAATAATGCTACTTTTGCACGCTTCTTTAACTATGGCCAAATAATTAAAGTATGATAAGTCTGGACGCAACAACAGATCAAGTACGAAGACTGGAAAGGAGTTTTGGAAGAGAACTTTGATTAAAAAGAATTTAATTGCATCATGCCAAAATTGTTTAAGATGCTCCTATTTAGTACGTAGTGGTAGTACTATTTTAGTGTTATGATACAAATTTGCCTCAAAAATTTTCATACGCTGGACATCCAAAAAATTTTTCTGAGTGTAAAATTACTCCAAAAGTTTAAAATCATAGCAATATTATCCGTATGTTAAAAACTTACATTGACCGCTAAAATAGGAACATTGACCATTCACATTTTTAATAGTAAGGGGTAATATTACTATTATTTTATGGGTGGCCGGTGTTTCTAAATAAAGATTTTCAGGACAAATTTACATTTTGACCCTAAAATAAATTACTTCATTCATTAGGCTTTATAATCAAAATGATACTAAGCAGTTTTCTTTAATCTTTTTTAAGCGTCAAATTATAAGTTTAAATCCTCTCCGAATGGTATGGCTGTATTGTATAAGTTGTGACAAGAATTAACGAGCAAGCAAAATTGCCCAAACAGATTCATTTATCAATGAGATCATATCTCTAAGCTTTACCAAGGGTATAACTGAAAATTTATAATAAATTATGTAGAGTTATTTATAAATTAAAAACAAAATTACATTTCTAAAATTCTCTTATAAATAGCAACAGAGAGAATAATTAATGAGTGGTCACTATTTTTACAGCCACTTATTGACTCAACAACAAGTTTAATGATGAATCACTATAATAATAACGACAATTGAATAGCTCTGGCTAAAAAAACACAAGGGCAAAAGGATAAATTTACTTATTGTAATATTCAAAAGGAGCATCAGGTACCGCAATAAAATATTAAACCCAAAATTATTTATGTTGATTTAAAAAGAGTCAAAAAATAATACTCCTCCGGTCCTTAATATAGGACTTAATTATTGAATTGGTTTTGGTCCTAAATATAAAACCCATTTCTCATATTTATCAATAATCTCTAAATTACCCCTATAGATACTCCTTCAAACAGAATCAAGTAGAAGAGAGAGATGGGGTATTGAGAAAGATAATTATGGTGTTTTAGGAAAAACGTGTCATATTTATTACAATTAACTAACTTACCTAACTTCCTTAATTTAATCAAATTAGTTAAATGGGTCTTATATTAAGGACCGGAGGAGTACTTCTATTAAACAACACTGACCGTTAGTTTTAAAATGTTGACCAAATGAGGTGATATGTACATAAAGAAGTGCTCTGTGGCTGTGTATTTTGCCTCTCTCACTCTCTAGAACTTTTCATTCTTCATCTCTGCAATGCGGCAACATTTGTTTCACTGCTAAACAACATCATTGAGTGTCATCTCTATTTTCGTGCTGTCGACTCTCTCAAGCTGTCAATACCTTCATTTCCATGCTCTGACTTAAGTTATCACTGCACCGTTTGATGATTGGGAAATCAACCACACCGTTTAAAGACTGCAACATTCTCCAATGTTTGACATTGTTTCAATCTCTGAGCTAACTTAACTCCACTCTGTGATTAAACAGAATTGCCGTCTCTAGAGTCAGAGACACCAAAAGTCCAAGAGCTACAATAGAGCAACAATGAAGAGAAAAAGGGGTTGCCACTTTTGTCGGTGAGTGATAACGAAGAGAAAATGGTCAATGAAATCAAAGTTCATGTGCATTTGTGCCTTTGACAGATAAATAATCCCCATCTTTTCGCCTTTAGCAGAGAAAAAACAGTCAAAGTTAACGGTATGGGCATTTTTGCTCTGTTTTTAAGAATTCATGTGTATTTTTATTCCTGATATTTTATTATCATGCCTAGTGCTCTTTTTGAATATTACAATAAGTAAATTTTTTTCTTGGCCCAAAAAACAATTGAGTAGCAAATGATTATATATCATCTGAGCGAGCAACCACTATTTTCACAAACACCCATTTGTTCAATCATAGGTTTAATAGTAAATAATTGAAAGAGTAGAACGAATATCAACAGTATGATTGAGTAGCAAATGAACTCACTATCAAATGGAGTAAACACTCATTGGTTCAACCACAAGTTTAATCATAAATTACAAGAACGACTATAACTCATCGTATCTCCAACAAATTACCTCTCTTTTTTTTTCCTTTTCTCCTGTAAAGAAGCGATCGATTGTCACATGCAAATTAGTGGTTGCGAGGTTGCAAATCAATGAATATATAAGAGTGGAAATTAAACCACTGATATTATTGTCAAATTGTTTTTCTTTTTACTATTGAATTAATCCAATATTTTGGTCCTCAAATATCATTCCCAAATATAAAATGATGTTTCTAGGCACATCAGCCATTGTAATTTCGTACTTTGTATTTAGGAAAATCGGTTAAAAGTCTTTATCTGAAAATTTTATTTTTAAAAGACCGAATGTGTTTTTATACACAGACTCTGCACAATTCCAAATACAGAAACTACTACTTTCGGTCCTTAATATAAGAATTTATTTGACTTTTATTTTGATCCTAAATATAAGACTCCAATCCACTTTATCTATCATATTTATGTGTTTTTTTTTCAAAGTAATCTTTCTAATAATGGTAGTTCTAACCAATACCTTTAATTAGCAAGAATATTTTAAAAAAGACAACACTTATTTATTATAAATAATTAACTTAACTTCTTTTCTTAATCTTCTCAAATTAGTCAACTAGCTCTTATAATTAGGGTCGGAGGTAATACGTACTAATACTTGAATTCAAATCCGTCTAATCAATAATTTTTGTTAATAGAAACTGAATATCCCTACTCAAAATTCAGAATTACATCAAGAGGGTAAGGGTATGTAATTTAAATTTTATTTAGAGAATAATAATAATGTGATGTATGAGAGAGGGAACGAACACATGAATCAATTGGGACAGTGACATTCACAAAGATGATTGACGCAGGCAGGGCAGCCTATGCCGATGCCACATACGCTCCGAATGATACAGTCCGAAGTTGAATTGCACTTCACTCCCACTATTTCATCTTCTTTCACTTCCACTCCTCCTCCTCCTCCTTCTTCCCATCCCCATCCCCATCCTGCATTAATAATTCATCAATATATCTCTATTCATTCATATAATATAATATAAAATTAATTGGCAGAAAATAATTCTTAGGATGATGAATTGCACTAGGAAAGATA